CCCAAATCATCCTGGCCATGATGCAAGGTCCTTGGCAAGCAAGAACTGGAAGATCAGCTGTTGTGTTGCATGTCCAGAGATTAGTTTGAAGGTGACATCAAAGACAAGAGTGGTGGCTGGGAGCTGCTTTGTCTCTGACATTGGAGACTTGAGAAGTGCACATCGGTCATTCAGACAGTGCAAGCTCATCTTCAGCTTCTCCTCACTTCTGAAGCACAGACAAAAACTGTGATCACTCCCTGGCAGCTGTGGTCATCCCACCTGTCCTCAGCTGTAGACCATGACTCTTCTGCTCCAGATTTGGGGAGTGATATTCTGCAGCCCTGGAGGTGGCTGTTTCAAGCCCTAGGTCCCAGCGGTGCCGACAGCTCATTCACCAGCACAGCTTCTCGACTCAAATGCTCTGGAGTGGCAATTCAGTCTCCACCTTCCTGCTCACTTTCATCAATGCTAGTTTGGGGAAACTGAGGAACCTTTGTCTACTGAGTTATCCTCCTTTAAATCCTCATTTAAGACTTGTCTCTGACAGCTACAAACCATTCACAACTGGCAATATTTTTTTCAGCTGTTCTGTATTGCTGCTTCCTGACATCCTCTCCTTTAATCTGTGCTCCACCCTCCACACAAAAATGCATCTACCCAGGAAAACACATTAAGAGAAGTGTTTCACCTCACAGTGCCTGGCACGAGGGTGCTGGACCCTTAAACTGGACTTTCTCAGTGTGAGCGGGTTAGATACATGCCCAGCTTATCCCCAAAATGAATCAGTATCATATGCTCAGCTGCAGAGGAGTCATCTGGCCCTCACCAGGGAAAAAATGGTTAATTTTCTGCCTTGCAGGAGAGCGCCTTTGGCGCTAGTTTCAGTGCAATGACTCACTGGGGCCAGGCGGGACTGGAAGTGCAAAGACCCCATCGGCAGCAGCGGAGCAGCTTGGGAATCCCACGGTAGCCTCAGCCCTTGGCTCGTCAGAGCAAGGAGAAGTTCCAGCTGTGGCCTTACAAGGCCAGAATGAGAAACCTGCTGCTGTGTCCTGTCTGAAGCTGCTGCCAGGCACTCTCTGCATGAAAATCTCTGCGAATCCTTGCCTGGGGGCTGCTGGAGACTGGAGGAGAGGGCTGGGCACCAAGAGCACTCAGTCATAGCTGTGTACTTAAGGATTTCAAGCAGTGCACTTTTACCAAAATATTCTCCCTATTTAAAGCTGCTTTTGCCTGCCAGCTCCTGAATCATCTCCAACCCTCCAGAGGGAAGTCACGTCTCTCTTGCAGCCCATTTATGGGTGAGGGATATTGGTAGGAAAGTGTGTGTTGCCACCCTTTGAGGACTGCAGTCTTTAAGATAAACCTGGAGGTCCTTATGAGGGGCAGTAGAGATGGAAACACATAGGATGAGTCAGGAAATTCAGAGCACTCTGGGAGAGGTGGAGAGCCAGTTCAGCTCCTTTTGGCCCCAGTAAGCACTATAACGCTCAGGACTGGGCAGGATTAGGTCTTGAGGTGAGTCCTACCTTCTCTATAGTTGAGCTACTCAGCCTCTCAGAGGCAATGCTGGGAGACAGGGACTTCCAGACAATGACTCAGCCCATCCTAAACCCAATCCAAAACAGATGGGATGGATTATTCTCCGGAGGTGTCTTTCCCTGCCTGGAGAGGGAATAGATGCAATGCCCAGCTTTCTGATGACTGAGTTGGGAAAGCTGAATCCCACCCTTCATTTTCACTGAGGATGAGGTAAAAGCTACAGGAGAATGAACCATATGGCCTCCCTCATTCTGTTTGCTTTGGAGCAAAGCTATGTGTACATAAACACACTCTACATATGTTTGTACATATATATAGTACATAAATTTAAAGTTGTTTGGTTTTTTCTTTCTTTTTTTTTTTTTTTTTAATTGCAGTGACAAGCACATGACAGAGATGCCAGAATCCAGGCTCTCTGTGCATTAAAATATGACAGAACTTTTTCCTGGGAAAAACTGACTTAACTGTGACAAAAATCAGAGAGAATGAAAGAAGGGGAGAGAGATGGTTCCATCCCCGCATTTGGCCCCTCTATGAGTGTGGGGAAGCATTGCTTTTTCTAGGAAAGTCTGCTTCAGTTCCCTCCTGACCCTTCCCCTCCTGGCCCTTCTGCAGTTCTAGCTTGGATGCGGTGTACACACAAACTGCACTGCTGCTCTGTGATGCTTCTCCTTTTCTTTTCTTTTGGCTGAACACAGGCAAGAATGTCAAAAGGAATTTTTGAGCATACTGGAGGTGAGATGCAGTCTCTCGGCGAGAAGGCCAAAGCAAAATTATTTTTTCTCTCGCCTTGTTGTCAAAGACAACAGAGCTGTTTGGGCCCAAAAAATCCCTCTGAGAAAAGTGTAGTTTGACATGATTGCAAAAAACTGAAAAGAGGGTTTTTGTAACAGGAAAGGTCAAGCGTTGTTAATTACAGTCAGAGCTATAATATGGATAATGAGATTTGGGGAGTTTTCCTCCAAATCGTTGCTTCTAGGCACCTCTGTTTCTCTCCCTTGCCTACTCTGGGCGGGGAGTGGAGGGGAGATGTTGCACATCAGGAGCTGTTGTGGTCTCATTGTTTCTTGCTTTAACATACTGCCCAAAATTTCTTTCAACAGAGGTTGGCACAAAGGCCTGATCACTCTCACACAGGATAAAAGCTTCTCCATTTTCACTGTCTGCTTACTTTGATCCCATTTTTTGAAGGACAAATGCATGGGCCACTCTTGTTACCATGAAATAAATCCAACTCCTTTTCTCCATTGTGTAATTCCTGCTTTGCCCTTTATGTGTGCATGAGAGATAGTTTGGCCTACTGAATCGAGAACTGGAAACTTCAAGTTTTGGAAAACTCTCCATTTGTGGCCTTGGCATCATTACTAAAGTAGTCTGTACCTCAGTTTTCAGGTCTGTAAAATGGGTCTGTGAATGTTTGAGTGTCCCTCTGAAGGGTGCTGTCATGTATTATCTAATGCATTTTTGCAATACAAAGGCTACTGTAAAAGAGGAGATGAGAGAGCACAAAACCTTCACTTCTTTTTTCAAATAACTGCCATTTATCTCATCTTAACAAGGACTGTTAGTCTCTGGAGACAACCTTCATATTTGGGGCAGGCATTCATCTTCTTGGAGGTTTATTTGGTGCACATCTTGGTGTGAACCTAGTGGGGTTCTCCCCTTCTCTTTGAAAGAGCTTCTTCCACCAGCATTTGGTTTAGTATTCTTGTCTATGAAACATTCATAAAACGTGTGGTGGTGAGACGTGGAGCAATGTTCCAGCCAAGAAAATGGAGGGATGAATCCTGCAATCCCTACAGAGGAAAATTGTTTATGCATAGGACAGGAACAGGCAGGGAAGGACTTCAGACCTGGCTCCAAAATGTTTGAAACTATGGGAAATATTCCCCTTAATTTCAGATGGACTGGAAGCCAAGTCACCATCTGGGAGGATTAGAAATTCCACTGCGGTGGGTAATTTGTTTGCAGTTGCATCATTACATCACTAGCTTCGATGCAGAATCCAGAGGGATATTGATGACACAGCTTGATCCGTCCTTTGAGCTCCTTTCCAGACTGTCTTTATATAGCAACATCGGATCTAGAAACATGTGGTTTCCAGCACTGCTGAATGCCTTATGTGTTTCTCCTGGACAAACCCTTCAAGTATTTCCCTGATAGGCATGAGAGAAACCGTTAAATGCTGATGAGTCCACCATATTATCTCCTGTATAGCTTTCGTTGGAATTTGAAAGGCTTGGTGGTGGCCAAGAACAGGCAGAGCTGAGAAGCTACTGATCCCTCCACTTCCAGATATTGCCTCATATTCCTCCCATGTGTTTTGCATAGGGTATGTTTGCATGGACAGAGGCTGCTTTTGGGCATCTCCTCTCAGCTGGTCTTACTAAGCTGAAGTTTGTCTCCATGCAAACACAGCTGCGTGGCTGCTAATTCAAAGTTGGTCACACTGGGGAGAACTGGACACATTTGCACTCTTCCTGTTGTGTTATCCTCAGTGCTCTGTCTTTCCCATCACCCAGGAACCTTAACCTCTGTTGCTATGAACTCATCTTGTTACCAGCTTTCCTCACCCTGGTTGCCTACATTTACAAGGGATAACTAACAGCAGAGCAATATAATATTGGCGTGTTGCTAGAAAAAACAACATGCCTGGGACAAAACTGACTAGCAGGTAGAATCTGCAATGACTAGTGAAGGGTTCTTTTTATATCTTATTCATTTGAACATGTTAGCTTAAATATTTGTGAAATCATGGAACTATTAATTGGAGTATGTATATACCAATCAGTATCCTAATTATCATAGAATCATAGTAGAATTGTAGAATGGTTTGGGTTGGAAAGGACCTTAAAGATCATTGAGTTCCAGCCCCCCTGCCACAGGCAGGGACACCTCCCACTAGCCCAGGTTGCTCAAAGCCTCATCCAACCTGGCCTTGAACACCTCCAGGGATGGGGCATCCACAGCTTCTCTGGGCAACCTGTTCTAGTGATTATGAACAGAGCATGTACATCCTTGACATGTTTAGAGGTATTTCAACTTATAAGTAACCTTTTAAACCATGACACTTACAGCTTAATGCAAGTCTAGAGGGCTTTAGAAGAACTTCACTAAATTTTTTGTGTTAATCAACTTTATTCAGTATTCCTTAGTTCAGAGCATGGTTGTCCCAGTCGCTGGGAGCTTTTCTCCTAATTGTTTTGCATGAGTTTTAAGCTTAGCTAGGTCTAGACATGTGTCTCACAGCTTTGCAAGATGTTTTGGGCAAGAGTTCTTTTGTCTTGTGTTTGCATAAGACCTGGCACCACAGAGAACAGGCCTTGAGACAGGGAAGGACATCCCAATTTTCTTCATAAACCAAACTGGCAAAGTAGAAATATCTATAAGATCAGTAAACATCTTAAGAATTAAATTATTGACCACTAAAACAGTGACAGTTGTGCCTACTGATCTCTTTTCTCTTCTCTTTCTAGACCAAAGAAGCTCTCTTCACAATTCTCCAGGACCTAAGGCCTGAAGACCACTTCAATATCATTGGCTTTTCCAATCGAATAAAGGTCTGGCAGCAGGACCGGCTGGTGCCAGTCACTCCAAATAATATAAGAGATGCCAAAAAGTACATTCATAACATGTCACCTACTGGAGGTATGATCCAGAGATATGAATGGGATTAATTTTGCTATTCAATTAACTACACCAGCATGGAGAGTGGTGAATGTGGTCCTGTAGCATGTAGCAATGAAAAGGCACTGTGTCACGGAACAAGGGGGACCCTTCTCTATCTCCACTCAGGGTTATGTGACAGAGGATACGTGCCCTTTATTCACAGCATACATGATGGGGAGGTGTCCCCAGATTCACTCATATGACCTGATACACTTATTAAAGCCAAGTTTGGCCCATTCTCCCATTTATGTGGTGAGACCCACAGAGTGGGAAAGTTCCCAAGGTTATTTCTTGAGGACACAGGAGAAAATAGGGTATTCTGGTGAAGGACACAAAGGACCAGTACTTTTCTGAAAGCCTGTGTAAAAGGAGGCACATGATTTTGTCTGGGCTGGAAACTCCATGGATGGACTACCCAATGTGGGCTGTAGGATTGCCTTCTGCAAGAGCTGGTTCCTCACCTAGTACTGTCGTCGTCTTGTATCCACCAAGGAGCAGCCAGAATGACATTTAAGAATTTCTCATCCTTTTTTGCTTGTGTCGTGTTGCCAGGAAAGAAGAGGGGACAGGAGGGGACCCCAGAACAGTGGCAGAGTGCAGACATGAGTTTGAATTTGATTCAGTAGTCTCCTATGAGGCTATGGACACTAGTATTAAAAAAAACCATAATGAGGTTTGTAATCAAACATGCTTTGGCAGCTGTGCCCATCCTAGCTGAGCACTCCCCAGGTAAGCAGAGATCTGCAAAATGATCTATGCAAATCCTTCCCCATGCAAGCAGTCGCAGCTGGTTGAAGGTCAGACAGGGCTGCCCCTGAGCAGTGACCACTCCTAGCAAAGGAAACTCTCCAATGGAAAAACACAGCAAACAGGATGGTTTGCCGTACTGTTTGCATTGTGAGAGGAAGAGTTTAGGAAGTGGTCAAGGGACCTGCCCAGTTAAACAATTACCAATAGTGGGACTAAACTCAGAGTACAAAGCTTTTTTACTCCTGAAGTGCCCAAAGAGCTGTGCAGGAACCAGCTGAGTTCGCCCATGAACCTGCCAGAGAACAAAAAAGGAAATTATTAACTCGGGTTCAACAGGAAGGTGCAATGATTCTCCACTACAGGCCAGTGGTACTTTAGTTTTGGCTGACTCTGCATTTTTCCCTATAAAGGTGCTGTTGTTTGAGTATCTTCCAGTGAACATGAATGCCCTCAGGCTCACCGATCACACACACGAAGAACATGCTGTGCTTGCACTGCTGTGTATACTTGCACACCAAAGAAATGGGAACAAAATATTGCTGCTAAATATTGGTGCATGTGGCAAAAGGCAGTTTTCAGTGCTTGGTAGCTCTGATGTGACTGGGTTTGAAATGACACTATCTGCCACATGGGATGGTTTCCTTTTATTTCTGGGGAAGAAATTCTTTCTGAAATCTTGGATCTGGATGGAGACTGAGAGAGTACTAGGATATTTAGATGCAGGGTTTTGGTTCAAAACCATTTTGCAAAAACCAGTTGATTTTGAGGACTTTTCAGCAGTCTTAGCCCCTTTTCTGTTCCTTGGCTTGCTGCAGTGACTCAAGCTGTGCATGCTAAATTTCTAGGTCCATGATGCATGGTCAGACCTGCTAGCACATCCTTGCTGATGACCTCTCTAGATCTCCCCTTCTGGACCCCTAGGACTCTGTTGTGTATGGCTCTTAACATGTTTCACCTGCTGTTTTCTGAGCGCTGTCTTTAACCCAGACATACTGATCTTGCAAAGGTTCCACAACCAATCCCTCTTTGCTTTGACTAGCACAAAAAATACATGGAGCAAGGATATACCTGTACTCATTTTCCTGCTTTTCTTTTTTTTTTTTTTTTTTTTTTGAACATGCAGTAGGTTTGAATCCTTTTCATGACTATTCTTCTAAGTACATCTATTCCCTCACTTATTTTCTGTTCTGTACCTCTGTCCCCACTTCAGGCAGCTCCATTTTCCCCTAGGCAGTTGTTTTGTGAAAACACACACCTCAGCTAACAAAGCCATTTCTCTTCCCTTTAAACTTTGTTAGGCCCTGGGGTTTGAAGAATAAACCCAACCACTCATTTTCCCATTTGAAGGCTGTTTTTCCTCTCTTCAAATCTTGTACCCTTCAGACAAAATGAGTAGAACTTGTTTTCATAGTTCAGATACCATCTGGGAGAGTCCCTAATTAAGTTTAACTCATTTTGTATGTACCAGCAGGATGTGGTATGTGCTGTGACTGCTTACTATTGTACATTGAGACATTCAAGGATACAGCAATTTCACATAATAAACTGCAATTCCTAATTCAATTCATAAGGCTATAAACACCTATCCCAAACTGGTGCTGAGTAACAGAGCTGAACTGAGATAAAAGGCTAGTGTAGAGAAAAGGAACACCCTCATGAACAGAGATGCTGTCATCGTACTAAAGGGAGCTTAGGGAAATTATTTATACCACTTTTAGAAGAAGAAATGAGCTAATCATTTTGGTACCTTCCCAGGGACTAATATTAACGGTGCTCTCCAGACTGGTGCGAAGCTGCTCAATGATTACATTGCTCAGAATGATATCGATGCCAGGAGTGTCTCTCTGATCATCTTCCTCACGGATGGGAGGCCCACCGTGGGAGAAACACAGTCATCCAAAATCCTCAGCAACACCAAGGATGCTATCCGTGATAAATTCTGCCTCTTCACCATTGGCATTGGCAATGATGTAGACCACAAGCTGCTGGAGAGGATGGCACTGGAGAACTGTGGCATGACAAGGCATTTCCAGGAGGATGAGGATGCAGCCAGCCACCTCAAAGGGTTTGTTCTGCTTTTGCTGTGCTTACATCTGCATGGGGCCCTCTGGGTAAGGGTTTTGGGAAGGAAAACCCTCTAAGGAGACATCTCGAGAGATGGGAGTTTCTCCAAGGCTCAACTTTGGCTGAGAGGGGCAGAATACACTCAGATACTGAGGATGCCTATCCAGAAATTGTCCTAAACTGTACTGGAGCTTTTCAGCCCCTCAGAACAAGGCATTTGTTTCCTTAATTCAGATTGTTGTTTTGGGCATGTAAACCTGGAGAGGTGGGAGGCGTGAATGGACAGAGCTGCAGGTGGACAGAGGGAGTAAAGAATGCATTGCTCACTTCAAATTGACAACATAAACAGCATGGAGGGTCTCACAAATGAAGATCCCAATTTGGGGCAGAAAATTATTTCTTAATTTTTTTAAAAAGATAACCTTTTGCCCAAACTCCAAAATATTCAACTTTGAAAAAATACATAAGGGTCATTCCTGGGATGATCATGTAGTTGCTTCATTCCGTCATTCTTTGTGACCCAAACTCCTAACAAGTTTCCAATAATCCTCGTCATCCAGTAGGACCAGAGATTATCTTCCTCTTCCATGATCAGGGAGCTGTTGTCCAAGGGGAAACCTTAGTGAGGAACACCAAAAGATATGTGAATCACATCTCTGTCCAGAATGTCAGGCAGTGTGTCAGTACTTCCAGGCAAAAATGTTTGGCTTTCACTCCCAAAACATTAATGTTTTGAACCTCAGAAACCAAAAAGAGACATTGAGCAGAGACCTCTTGCCTAGCTAGTGTCTAATTTATCTGGAGCCGTGGGACCATGCACCTTCCCCTATAGTTTTTCTTTCTGTGGTGGTTATGTGTGCACAAGCATGTCTTCCTTTTAAACCAGATTTTGTAGATCCATCTGTCACTCTGCCTATGTCATTTGCTTCTCAGAACATGCATTTTGGGTAGCAAGTGGCATTCCCTGGCAAATGAAGGATGTGCTGATTGATTGGGCTTCTGGTGCCAAATTTATATGGAAAGGCACCATCACTTGCTGGAGGCCAATTCAAATCACTGTTGGAGGGAAAATCTACATGGGTGTCAATGTAATTTCTGATTTTTGTGGTCAGTGGGTTGTATTTTTGCACAGATACTTCCCTAAATTGTACTATAAGACAGGTGGTATCCCTCCACTATTGTTAAATCCCTTTCACAGAGAGTTCTCAGGTTTAATTAATGTTTTAAAATGCATAGAGGTCTCTGCATCAAAGACACTGAGTGCTCAGAGTGACTTTAAAATAAAGCAAACCAATTCAGGCTTTTGAGAGAGATTAAATCAGAAAGTGTGATCCTCGCTTCCAGACAATCTGTTTAAGCAGATGTGAAAAATAAATGCAGCCTGAACTGAAAAAGGGCTGAGGCCAGTTCTTTGTTTATTTACCAAGTTATACTTGAATGACTTGCCAAGAAATGAGGAGTCTGGCATTTAAATGGGAAATATGGCATTCTTGGAGCAGCTTGGGAAGATCCATCAAAAGCACATCAGTGCAGGGAAAACACAATACTGTAAACCTGGGCCTTGACCCCTTGTAAAGGCTTTCTGGCCCGTCCAGTGCAAAGTATTCTCAGAAGTATAGTAGGTCGTGTTAAAGCATTATAGGGTTAATCTCCCTGGTTCCACGGAAGTCATTGCTTACTCCAACAGAAAGTCAGCAATAAGGTGGCAGTGAATTCTCTTCTGCCAGTCCTCCTGTTCTTAGTAGTTAGGATTCCTCCATTCCTTAGAAATTTCCTCATTTATGGGGACATAGTGAGATCCCTTCTTGATTTTCCTTCTCCTCTGACCATCAGAAAACCGTGGTCCTGCCTGTTCCACACTGACTATCCCAAACTGTGTTATCGAGGGCATTTCCAGTGATACAGAAGCTTTGGTTCAGATATTCTCCAGCTTTGTGGCACCTAGCATCTTGGTCTTACACCTTCTGGCTCTGGAACACCATGCATAATACCACTAGAAGACTGTGGGTAAAAGCAGCTCTTCAAAGCACATTTTGAAATAACTAGGGTGCTTTTTGTGAAGCTGAGAAGCGGAGAATTTACATTTGATGGACAGACCCTTTTAAGCAAACTTAAGTGGTCACAAATATCTCCTTGCAGAGCTCTTGAATCATAGTGGAAAGTAGGTGAGTGCCAGACCATGCCGGGATGCTTCTGAACATACTTAAGAGACTCTCTTTAGATGCCTAAGAAACACTGAAAACTAAAATGAGGCAGAGAATAATTCCGGTTGAAAGGAACCTCTGGAGGTCATGTAATCCAGCCTTCTTTTTAGAGAAGAGCTCACTTCAAATTTAGGTGAGGTTTCCCAGGGCCTGGTCCATTCAAGGTTTGAAAATCTCTAAGGGTAGGGACTCCCTCATCTCTCAGGGCTCAGTTACAGCAGATGAGGCAGTTAAATTTGGGTCCCAGTAAATAAATGACCCTGAATGTCTCGGGAGCCGTATTAGATAGTCTGAATGTATCCTTGGCCTTGTGTAAGTGCAAGAGTGTGTGCATACACTTGGATGAACAGTACTAACAGTGAGAAATGTGTCTTTCTTTCAGGTTCTATGATGAAATAGGAACACCCCTTCTCTCTGACATCCGTGTTGATTACACTGAAGACAACGTGGAGCAAGTCACCCAGAACTTCTTCCCTAACTACTTCAATGGCTCTGAAATTATAATAGCTGGCAAACTCATCAATCACACCTCAGATAGCCTCCACGTGGAGGTGACCGCTAGCAACTCTAAGAAGTACATTGTCCTCAAAACAGATGTGGCTATTGACCTTCTTGACATCAGAGGTGTCCCTGGCCTGGAAGATGGCAAAGGTGATAAAAATTACATTGAGAGGGCATGGAGTTACCTCACCATCAAGGAATTGCTTAACTCCCGGTTGAAGAGTGATGACAAACGGGAAAAAGACTATTTGATGGAGAAAGCCAAGTCAATGGCCCTGGCTTACAATTTTGTTACTCCCTTCACTGTTCTGAAGATGAGAGAGGCTGGGCTCCATTCACAACCACCTCAAGAGGAGTTTATCAGCCCTTCTACTGATGGCATTGGTGAAAAATTGCAGAGCTTGCAGGGACACAAGGCACCACCAGGTACGAGAGAAAAATAACCATGTGCTGGTAAGAAATCTGTTTGCATAGATAAAGTCTCATGGCTGACTTTGGCAATGGGGTGATCCAGCCAATGAACCAAGGGGTGGTAAACAGAAAGCTGAGATTTTTATATTGGTTTTGCTAATTGTGGGTTGGGTGACTTTTAGCAAACCTTTTAGGCACATGACTCACCCCCTTGAAGCACTTACTGCTCTGTAGAAAATATTTAAGGAAAATTTTATATTCTAAATGAAGCTTAAAGTAGCTGCAGGACTAAGTCCCATAATCTTGCTGAATAATATTTTGGGAACATTATACTATGGCTCTTTCTCCTGCTGGATAAGTAATTGTAACAGACTTCCTTCCCCACTTCTAGGTATAAGCAGACAGCGAGACAAACAAAGAATTAAAATCTCCAAAACTTCAGGTCAGTGTCTGTTTTCATGCCTTTAATAATCCAAAATAATTGTGGTTGATTTATGGAGACCTCAATTTGCATGCCACAGTGGTATAACCGTCCTGACGGATCAGCAAAAATCCTGTTTACTAGACCTGCAGAATAAGGAGGAAAATGAAAACAAAACCAAAATACAGAGAGGATCAGTAAGGAGAAGAAGTGTGAGGAAACATAGCAAAGTAGATGATCTACAACACTGGATCCTCATGTTTGAGACACCTGTAGATTAGGGGAGAACAGGAGGCACGTTCTCTCTGTACTAGAGGTAGGCAAAAAACACTTTATAAAGTACTGTTGCTGAAACACAAAAAATGTTGTTGAAGGAAAAAAAAAGAAAAATTCTGTAGTGTTTCACTGTTTTTTTGTTGCTTCACCTCTGCTTAACATCCTTTTCATACATTAAACACTGAAGAATAAGCCTAGATCAAGAATTTAGACTTGAATTTCACTGTATAAGGTCAAATTTACCTTAAAAACGCTGGGGTTTGGCTTGTCTTACTATTAATGACACCAGTCTCTTAGTTGATGATAGGTCAAGGATTGTTGAAAAATTAAGATCGTGGGATTGTTTAATACCTGCTGTTGACTGCTCCAATGTGATGCAGCAGTCCTTGGTTAGGAGTCAGATTTTTGTCTGCTCTGGGAGATGTAGCCTGCCAACAGAGTATGGAGAAGTATTAAACACCTGCATGACAACTCCCATAAATCACTGAAATTATATTCCAGGAAGAAAATATCCTGATTTTCACCTCGACTGCTTTGGGTTTTGAGTTTTCATTGAAAACTCAATTTCTTCTGTGAGAAAAATAAAACAAAATAAAATAATCTTTGTGAAAAACAAAGCAAAACTTGGCATTTCCTGGCAAACTCCATCCAACCCTCTAAAAACAACAAACCGGGATGTCTTAGAAAAAACAGGGACAAACACACTTTGAAAAGCAGTTTTGTTACATTCTCGGACACTGCAGTTTTGTGTAAGTCTCTCACATTTGGCTCTTTTTCCATGTCTTCTCAGCGGATGGAGACCCTCATTTTGTCATTGATTTTCCCTCCAGCAAGTTCTCTGTCTGCTTCAATATTGACGGAGAACCAGGGGACATCCTCCGACTGGTCTCTGATCATAAGGAATCTGGTGAGCAGCCAAGCAAAGCGGTTGTTTGTGGATGAAAAAAGTGCAAGGCCAACTCTTTAGCAACAAGACTAAGCACCAAGGGGCTTCATAGGCAAGAAAGTGGCAGGAATTTAGGAAAACTTGCTTTTCTGGACGGGCAATGGACAATTGGTGCACATCAGTTTTCCTGTTCTAATCACCTGGATTAGAAGGGGAAGTAAACTGTTCACTTGCATTTACTGACCTCCAACTTTATCACAGTTTATGGGTAAATTCACAGCAACCCTAAGCAAGGAGCAGGCCTGGCCACCGTTATATATACAATTCATCTACAGAAGTGTTTGTCGACTGGTTAGGCCTACAAAGTCACAACATGCAAAGAAAAGATTTGGACTCACCAAAAATTGCTCTGTTATTGGAACTTCACTCTTTTAAAGTGCTGTTCACTTCAGGACACAGCGAAGTATTTAAACAGGTTAACTGAGCACTGAGTCTGGTTAGTGAGTCATGACAGACTTGGGAAAACCCACACGATTCAGGATCTGCTTTGCCCAAGCCAGTCTGATCCCCAGGGGCCCAAATTGTGCTCTGATCTGATCTGGAATTCTAAGCAGGCCAGCTAATAAGCAGATTATATCCTGAGAAGGAAAACTGTGGGAGAAAGGGTTGTCAAAACCAGAGACAATGCACAGACTTGTTTTACAAAGAAGATAAACAACCACACAATAAAGTTATAAGAATTCTGTTCTGTGTGGCAGTGTTCTAGCCTCCATATTTCTATGTTCATGCCTGACTTAGTGAATAAGATCCAGCTCCTGGCAATGTTTTCCTTAAACTTCTTTCACAGACTATATCTTGAGTGGTTCTGTGGCTCAAATGCGGAATGAGCTTCAGGAAAACAGACTCAATAGCACCAGCAAGTTAAGTTTATGGAGACAGAAATGAGAGATTCTCTCAGCAATGGTGGGATATGGAGATATTTCATCTCATTGTTGATGCCTTGGGTCTAGCCTGGGTTAGCCACAAGCCACCTCCTTTATTGTTAATATCTAGTTAGTCCTCAGAAACCTGTGGGAAGTGAGAGACTGTCTTAGGGACAGGAAGTCATAAAAATCATTAAAATGATTGAGAATCTTGTGGTGGACATCTAGGCTTTATTTGACTCAGTGGGATCTGCACCTTAAACTATTCAAAAATGGTTATTCTGGGGCAAAACTGAAGAAAGCTGAATGAGCACCAGTCATGAAAACAACCCAATGGGCGTGCAGGGTTCAGGGTCCTCTTCTGCAGTGACACAAAGAGAACCTGAATTTCTTACACTGCCACTTGAGGAGGTTTAGCAGACTGTTGCAGGTCAGACTAGTCCTTCTACAGGTCCTGCTCAGTGGTTAGTGTTTTGGACAAGATAGTAACCCTTATTCTGTGGCTTCCCAGGCTAGTTCTCTTCTTAGGCGTCAGGTAGAGAGTGCCATCAAACTGGAGCTGTATACTATCCTAAGATACTATGAAACAGCAGCATTCAGATACACCCAGGTCCTCTTCCTAGAAGTTCAGTCCCTATGCCAGTTGGTGAGATGAGGAGAAGCACGCCTGCCAGCAGCTTCTCTTAGTTCTCCAAGATCTGGTGTGTTTGCCCAGGTTTGAGTTACGCATCAACAAATATGTGGTCTAGGTAAACCATACCACTGTTGGCCAGGCTATAGCAGTCAGGAAGATAAATGTTTGTCTTATGTGACTCAAAATCCCCACATTTCATTGTCTTGATGATAGGTAGGTCTGAGGTTAGAGGGAGCTTAGGAAGTGTCTGTGCCGAGGAGCAGCTGATCCTATCTTGTAGCACTGTGTACACAGTGTTAGGACTAATGGGGCTGGGAGCACCTGCCTCCAGGGAAGGCCAGTATTTGTGAGCTTGGGTAAATTTAGGTGTTCTGTATGGGGTAATAATTTTATAACAGAGTGGTTATACTATTTTGAATACTGTTAAGTGAAATAGTCAAACATGAGGTGGTGAATCTGCATGTCCTCAGTTGCAAGGCTTGTATCTTTGAGACAACAGACATGATCTTGGTTCCAGCTTTCATTTATTGATTATTTTCCTGCAAGGTGTAACTGTGAATGGGCAATTAATTGGAGCTCCTGCACCACCCAACGGCCACAAGAAGCATCGGACTTACTTCAGCACCATCACTATCCTCAGCAATAAGCCAGAGAGATCTTATCTGGAGATCACACCCAAAAGAATCATCCTGGATGATGGGGAAAGACTTCTTCTGTCCTGTGGTCGGAGTGCCACTGTGCGAAGCAGCAGCCTCGAAGTGTCCATCTCTGCCAATTCCAACATCACAGTGACGATACGAGACACAATCAGTTTTGTCATCCTCATCCACCATTACAAGAAGCCGGCTCCGTATCAGAGGAATCACCTGGGGTTCTACATCTCCAACAGCAAAGGCCTCTCTTCTGACTCCCATGGGTTACTGGGTAGGTAACAGGTTCTCAGGTTCAGAGCTGTAAACCAGACAAAAATGATCCTTCCAGAGAGTTTTAAAGGACAGATACAGGAGTCAATCAATGAACAAGGCAGGTGGGGATTAAGTTCCCAAGTGAGACTTCTACATCTACTCTCAACTGTTGCTAGTATCCCCAACTCCTCTCCCATCTTTTTCTGTATGAGCTATCTCCCACTATCCAAGATATGTGGCTGTGCTTGTTTTTCACACTTCCACGTTTTTTATAATTGTTTAATACAATTGTCACTAGAAAACACATGCTTAATGCTCCCACTATAGTGATGGAAACCAAAGATTCCACACGAACCATGAATAAGGCACCAGTAAGAGATTCTCTAACAGTATTCCTAATTCAGAATAGTCCAGCTGCTAATGTTCTCTCAGGAACATAGCAAGGTAGGGTCTGACTTTAGGCAGAGAGGACAGTCAACGGAGGTCTTGCAGATTCTGAGAGAGAGCTCCAGTCACAGACCCAGCACATTGCTAGAGATCATTGGCTGAGCCTTCAAGTACTGCACCTGCACATGTCCTGAGGGTCTCTTTTTGCAGAACTGCGCTCTTTATACATGAGTCTGACTGAGATCAAGAAGCATTAGTACTTTTTGTGGCCACTTTCTTTCAAATGCAAGGTGAAAGAAGAGCCAGCCCCACATTTGGAGAGAAACTAGGCTTCAGGTAGGCTCAAAGAATGACTAGATGGTTGGGTTCTTTCAGCCAGCGAGAACTGGTGATGTTTATGGCCATGTAAAAGTGCAGAACTCTAAGACTGAAGCCATAGTTTCCGTGACATTCAGGCACCTCCAGGGTAAGCAGGATATGATCCCTCAGGAGTGGGATTTTGGATTCAGGCCACTCGCATGCACAAACCTCTAAATCCACACTTAGGTTTGGCCTAAAAGAGCTTGCCCCCAAGAAGGCAAGGTAAGAGTACTTGGAGCTTCAGGCTCAGATCTTCTTTCTCCTTGCTGATGAACACTGTATGGATTATTATGCTGTAGTAACCGTGGCCTATGGAAGGGAACTTACCACTAGCAGCTCTAAAAGCTCTTTAGCTCAGGTAATGTATCTTGATGAGTGAAAAAAGAAGTAGGGTTGTATTCTAGTCTCTATGTTTGTGAGATTTAGAAAATAATCGCTGGACCTAGATTCATCCTGCTATTGCAGAGAAGCCCTTTACAACCCCATAAGCTGAGTCCTCAACACACAGCCTGTTAAAAAACAAACACAACAACTTATAAACAGGCACAAAACACACAAAACAGCCAGTCATGGACTCTATTTTGTCTTACCTTGCAGGTCAGTTCTTGAACCATGAAGTTAAACTTCTTCAGGAATCTCTAAACACAAGTCTTCAGCAGGTTGGTCAGAACCAAACTGAAGCATTGAAGCCAAACCCTACGAATACCCTGAAAGTGAAGGGGCGGCTCATTCCTGTTGTGTGGAAGCAGAGGAGGATCTACAATGGCCAGCAGGAAGTGGACTGCTGGTTTGCCAAAAATAATGCAGACAAACTGATCGATGGGAGCTATAAAGACTATTTGGCTTCTCATCCTTTTGACACAGGGACCAGCTTTGGGACAATTAACACCCTGTAAGACCGATCATAGCAAAGCATTGCAGCAGCATGTGTGACAGCGGTTCCCTTCTGAAGCCTCTAGTGCTAGACATCTTACAAACATTTCTTTACTTTTTGGTGCCAAAGAAACCAAGGTTTTTGCCCTTGGAAATCAGCTGTCTCTCTTCCATGCTACATGAACATTGTTCATCAAATTCCTGAGGACAAAGAGGTTGGGGGGGAAGGGTTGATGACATGGTTAAAGGCATGATCAGTGCTCTCCCAGTGTAAAGGGAGGGAGAAAGGGGCCAGCACTCATATTGAACAGTGCAGAGAGCTACTGGCCTTAAAGTAAACCCATGCAGGGATCTGTGCAATACCCCCAGGGGCTGGTGAGTCACCCAGGGAGAGGCACAGGTCATACAGCACAGTGCCAGTCTAGAGAGACAACCTTGGGTGATACACTTTGCAAAGAAGTGAGTTGGAGCACCATGGTCCCTGGAGAAAGAAGAGAGAGAGAGAGAGGAGAGGTGGGTAGATATTCATCTGCAGGGACCCATTAGCATCAAAGAGGTAACAAAGAAATCAAAACCTTAAATGAACAGGCCACAAGAGGGTATTGCTTTCTTGATTATTGGGATGAGGTCTGGATTTGCCACTAAACATGATGTTTCCTGAACCACTAGGGACCCTTAAAACAGTGGTGAAAACCTTCATGTGGGTTATTGCCATCTCAGTGCACAGGCTGCATGCTTAAAAAGCACCTCCGGTCCTCAGCGGCAGCTGCAGGAGTGGTGCAGGCTCCCATTCCATGAAGCATCTCATTTAAATAACATTGCAGCTTTAGTGATTTCTTGAGTCTTGCTGCCCTCAGAGAGAAACAAATTTCCACCGTGAGCTTCCAACAGACCTGCCATCTCCCTGAACAGAGCATCATTTTTGCCTAGCAGAGATTTAAATTCTCTAAAAGATGATGAACCAGCAACCGTAATAGCTTATGATCCTGCAAAGCAGCCTCTTGTATTTAGACTAGACATTTCTAGCTGCTTTTCTAATGGGAGAGGAAGTCTTTACTCCAAATTGTAAAAAACTTTTCTTCATCCCCATTTCTTCTGTCTCCTTCCCATTCCTTACACTGCAGGAATTTGTACGCTAATTTGGCAGCGGGAGGTTACAGAAGGCTTTGCCAGCCACCCCCACTGCAGGTGGTGCTGCTCTGCATAGAAACCTCCAAGTTCAAACTGCAAGGCCGTAGCCTATTTTAAAGGCATCACCAAATAATGCTATAGATCAGCGACAAGGGACTTTACTTAGTAGAGAACTTGTCCAGAGAAGACTTTGATGACCACAAAGACATTCACATGGTGAAGCCAAAGTGAGCTCATGTATACTCTGCCTTTCCAGAACCGAAAGGAAGGGGGGTGGATGTGGAAGCGTCTCCAGGAACTAAATGATATCCATGTGGCAGGAGAAATCAGTTGCCAGAGACCTACAGAAATAGGTTCAATCTTGACTGATTTTTTGCATATGTAACTATTAAATCATATTGCTGCTGCAGGATCTCCAGCTGCTGGGGTTGGGGGGGTGATTTTCCGGTTGCTTCATCATCTAGTTAGTCCTGCTGGCACAGTGGCAGCAGAGCAGGTAGCAAGCATAGTTGTTTATTCAGACTGTGTGCTGTGGGGAAGAGAGAAACAGCCAAAAGCAGCTGGCTAGATTGAGTTGCGCTCTGGAAGATCCTTACGGAGAGCTCAGTTAGCGCAAATCTCATGCCAACACTCATGCTTTGGAACAAAACCTAAAGAAAAAACCTACTGCTTTGGGCGCAGCTATCTTGAGAAACAGTTCTGAAGGGAAGAACTGAAGGCAAGACCTTCAGCACAGTCCTGAGCATGAAATAACCAGAGGTGAATGCTCTGGGGTTTGCTTATGGGCCAGAAATGAGATGGGAAAGAGCATCTATGAAGTTGACTTGTCCGCCCAAGAAGACAGTGGGAGAATCACCCAGACCATTTCTAAATAACCTCCCATCTCACCAGCACAGGGTGAAGAGGGGAGTGGCAGTAAACATCTAGACAGTCCAGGGTCAGCAGGTGTTTTTTTCATATTGTCCTTACTGAAAAAGTTTTCTTTGAAATCTTCGCCCTCCTCCCACATTTTGCTGTTCACCTCTATTGCTAAGGGGAGCAATTGGCTTAGGCTCACCTCTCATCTCTCCTGTATATAGACATGTATATATATACACACACACATATATTGCTAATGCTTCAGGTGTATCATTACTCCTCTTCCCCCTCCTCCAGCCAAGGAAATATATTTCTCTTAGGGCCTGAAAAGGACAATGATCAAATCCAACTTCCCAGCCATGTGAAGTACCTGGAGCAATATACTCAAGTTCTCGTTAAGGCTCCAGTTATCTATTTCACAATAAATATTTTACAGTGAACACTGCAGTGAAGCTTTCATTTGGCAAAGATAAAATGAGCTGTGAAGCTCAGGTTATGTATGTTTTGTGCTGGTGGACAAGCTCTTATTACCAAATAGCAGAAAGAACCACTCACAAGATAACAATAGGTTGGGAACTAAATTAATTTTCTGCTGAAATTACAGGTCAAGGATGTTCTTCAGCTTCTACACACTTGGTAGGAAGCAAGAAGTGTGTTATGTGAACAGACCCCAGGGGTCTATTCCCCCCCTAAACTGAGAATTTAACCCCATAGAGAAGACTGAAACCACCTTTAAATACAGTAGCACAGAACACGGGAAAACAGAATTTGTGCTCCTGCTGCCCCAAAAGCGGTAAGAGCAAAGGCAGGTCATGGACTGTCAACTTCAGTTTCCCCATCACAACACTTCCCCTCTCTCAGGAGGAGAAGGCATCCAGGCTTGGTTCTAACACCCCTTTGTTGAAGCACTGAGAGCTCCCTGGAAGCACACATTTACTTTCTTCTCCAAGATCGTCCCAAAGCACTTTGTTGTGCTGTGATCCCATTAAAGATTGCAAGCTGCTCAGATAGCTCAGGAACAAGTGCTGAGCAAAACACTTTAGAGCCCAATGGGAACAATTGCACACCATCACTTCAGACAAGGGGACAGGATTCCTGAATTTAGGGTTGCTGAAACAGCAGTGGCTATGCAACACTTGAGAAGGACAACCTTCCCCCACATCATACTTGCTCTGCCTCTTGTGAGCCTTCTCAGCCAGCCCAAACTAAGGGGTAAGATGAAGATCACGTTACTCACCTTCCCTTTTAGGACAAGGACTTTGCTGTGGCTGAATTTGCACTCTTCACCCCCTAGCAAGAATAAAACCCCAAATACCAGTACACCTCAAAATAGGGAGAAAGTTTCTAATAGAGAAGTTGTTTTAATCTATTTTCAGTCAAGACCTTAAACAGCACAGGAGTTATTCCAGCCCTCACCAGCAGAGAATTCTGCCAAACAAGCAAAAGTCACATTAGGAAACTGATTTAACTAAGCAATATAAATTATCTATTCAGACAGCTCTGTGCCATGTGTTCCAAAAGCCATTTGATGTGCCAGCACAAGTAGGATTTTGACCATTCATTAAGAAACAAAACAAGGACTTAATTTCCAGAAATACAGTATAAGCCTGCGCAGATGCAAGTGTAGCCAAGCGTGTCTAGTTTGCTAAGGGACATGCAAGACTTTGATTTGGATCTAATGCTTCTAAACTACTTTGAAGTTAGAGAAAAAAAAAAACCAACACACTTCACATGTTCTCAGCCCAGCTTTTAAAAGTCTAAATCTAAGTTAGAAAATCCAAATCCTTTTTCTCCTCCTTAAGGAGTGTTTTCTTGTGAAAATACAAGGGAAGGAGGGAAAATGAAAAAAAAAAGATAATTTCTGGCCAGTTCTGGGGACTGTCTTGCAACAAGCAAAGCCTGCCTATGGCTCAGCTAGGTCTATGGTTCAGTTCAGTGGATCCTGGATCAGGCCCTACTCAGAGGACTATCAGCCATTTGGACTCTGTATGAGTCTCACCACAGCTGCACCCAGCCTGGGAGTGTGTTATGCAGCTGCTCTGTGCTGTCCCTCCCCATGAGAGCTGCAAAGCATTTTGCATATTTGTGTGTTCACAGACAAACAAAGTATGTTAACAAAGAGAGCGAGGGCAAAGCCCTGCACCTCACACATCAAGCAAAAGTTGCCAGGATGTGGGATGACCCAGGGGTCTTCTCCTGCAGCAACCCTGCCTGAGGCCATTCCCTCACCCCCAGAAGGTCAGGGCTGGTTAATGGGGCTTCAGTTGACTTCTCAGATCCAGTTTTTGCATCAGGTCTTGCAGAGATTTTATCTGTTTATTTTAAACTAGGTAAAAGGAAAGTAGTTAGCTTCTAGTTCCTGTTAAACACTCACATGTAAGGTGACCACTGGGATCAGTCTCCTGGTCTGCTCTGGTCTGGAGTCAGCACAGGCTGATGCTGCAGCATCAATTCTTCGCACTGAAGTGGCTCATGCAACCAACCCATCTGCAGAAACCGAGCACTGTGACTCGGCTCTTCTTCTGTAGGTTTACCAGGATAGCCCTGCTACAGAAAGACAACCTGCCCTGGGCGGAACTAGTCAAAAATTTCAACAGATCCCCTTCCTCCCCTTTACAGCATTAGGGTCTTGCAGAACATTAAACACATGGAGGCATTTCAATTATGAAGCGGTTTTAGGTCAAATATTTATTGCATTCTTTATAAAACAGTAAAAAGCATCAGATCCACTGAGACAATATTCCCAAGTCAAGACATTTAAATACATATTGCAAACCAATTCTTTTGAGTACTGTGAATATAAAAGTGTCACATTTCAGGTAGTATAGATTTTTTTTTCCTTCTTTTCTATAAAAAAAAGCACACAGTCTTTTGATTTCAGTCTCTAGCCCTGACAGAAAGTTACACCCAGGTGGCCAGCCAGGGGTAGTACATATCCATACCCCTAACCTCAACGTGCCCGCATGTGTACAGGTTAGGGTCAGACAGGTAAAGCAGATACTGCTCAAGCCTGTACAGGATGCACAGACACCATCCCAAAGAGACAATAGCAGAAGGATAGGTCTAAATGAGGCAGACAAAAGGATCTCTGCAGATCTGTAGGGATCAACTAGCATTCCCCACCCTCTCCTTCTTTGGCCAGCTCAAGGATCACAGTGCTGCTTCCCTTCCTCCACCTCTCTCTTCTCAGTGTTGTCAGATGACCACTTGATAGCT